CTGCACTCCCAGGGTCGCGCCTGGGGAGACTCGGCCCCCCACGGCCGTGCAAGCATCGGGTGGATGGGGGGATCCACACACCGTGGCCGGTGTCCTGCACTCCCAGGGTCGCGCCTGGGGACCACCGCAGGCGGACGCCCGCCCCGCCCAGCGGAGGAGCAGCGACGACAGGAGGGGACGTGGAGGAAGGCTCTTCCGGGAGGTCCCCTCCCCTCCCGCCCCCGCGCCACCGCCGAAGCCAGGCCTCCCCCAGGCTGGCTCGCGAGGTCCGCAGGGCTCTACGAAGCCGAGCCGCTCACCTGCAAGGGGCTCCGCCGGCCCGGATGGCGACGGATGGCGCGGGTAAGAGACTGCGAGACGCCCGGCAATCCCGGGACCCGAGACAGGAGGAAAGCTGCGCGCGCAGGGGGCCGGCGCCGTAAAGCGCGGCCAGCGCTGTCGTAAAAATGCCCCCACACTGCCCGCCACTTCCTCCTTAGTCAGCGGAAAAGAAACGTCGAGCCGGAAGGTGAAGACACAACCGGAAGTCTGTCACGGCCCTGGGCCGCTGAGATGCCGGACGCGCGTGGGGGCGATGACGTCAGCGGCCTCTGGGGGCGCCCCGAAGCGGTTCAGGAAGGGAGACGCGGTCGCGCGCGGTGCCAGGGAAGGAAGCTGGGGCGGGGAGCGGGAAGGAGCCGGCCCCGCGGTGTCCCACAATGCTTCGCGGCCGCCTCGGCCCTTCTGCCTCCCACAGTCCCTCGCGGCTCTCGTCTCGCCGCCTCCAGTCCGGGTGGCGGTCGGGTTGAGCTTCACCCGGAGGGTCGGGGTGGGGGGTCCCCGCGCGTTACCTGTGCTGGGTGACCTGGGGGCACCAACGCAGGGTGAGGGGTGGCCAGTGGCCTGCGTGGTCCGAGCTGGTAAAACTTCGGGGTGGCCGCCAGGGCTCAAGCCTTTGTGCCCCAGATCTCAAGCCTCGTTATTCAACGGAGATTTCTGGTCGCTAATTAAAAGTCGAATAAAAGCAAATCTAGGGTTTCCCCACTCGCGTAGATTGACGTTCGAGCCGGGACTAGCCAAGCCGCAGTCCAGGAGTCAGCGTTTTAAGTGATATTTACGATTCCGAGGGTGCGATTCAGTGCGACCTCTTGGCTTCTGCCCTGTGCAGCCCTAGAGTGCTAGGCAATTATGAGTGCTGGAAAGAGACTCTGAGTGAGCTTTCATTTAAAGCCGGACGGTCCGTCTGCCTAGCTGTCTAGGTTTCCTTGCTAGTTTCCCAGTAGGTCTCCTTTATTAGAGAACACGTCTGTTCTTAGACACGTGTCTCTAGGTTCAGCCACGTCTAGCTGTACAGTCTTCACATCTTTGGGACTATTTCCTTTTATGTAAACTGGAAATAGCAGTTAATAAGGCGTAACATAAGTGGTTGTCAAAAGTCCATTCCACTTTCTAGTCATTACCGTGGGCGCTACCTGGATGAACTTCCATCAGGTGATTTGGCCTCTAAATGTGCTGAAAATGAAAATGTTGGTGGGGGTGCCCATTTCCCAGTTTTTGTTCCTGGGATTTGGTGGATCCTGCTGGATCTTCGTCATTAAGAGTTTCTTTCGTCTTTCCCACCATTCATGACTGGCCTGTTTGTTTTCTGATTTCAGTGCTATCTCCCCTCATCGTACCATCTCCACTCATAGCTTGATCTATTCATATCCCTGATGGGTTGCTCCTCAGCATGGTCAAAGGTCTTCCCACACAACTAGCATCTTTCTAGGGAAGCCTAATATAAAGTAGACTAGCTTTCTGTGGCCTGATGTCCCTGGCTGCCTTCTCCCTTCGGTGACCGCTATTCTGTACACAACCTCTGCTCTGGCCACAATGGCCTGCTCTCATCCCTCCTCAGCAGGTCCTACGCTTGATGTTCTTTCTGCCCTGGAGGTTTACTGTCACTGCTTTGGTCCTGTCATGTATGTGTCTTAATTTAAGAGTTGGCTCCTAGCCAGGAGCGGCAGCACATCCTGGACCCCTGTACTCTGAAATTGAGGCAGGGGGATCATAATGCCAGACAGGAGCTGGCAAAGTTGGAGAAGGCTCCAAGGAAAGGCGCTTTCTTGGAGAACTGAGCCATCTTACAGACAGTAAGACATTTGTTGTTTGTTTGTTTTTCGAGACAGGGTTTCTCTGTGTAGCTTTGGAGCCTGTCCTGGAACTCGCTCTGTAGACCAGGCTGTCCTCGAACTCACAGAGATCCGCCTAGCTCTGCCTCCCGAGTGCTGGGATTAAAGGCAATGCACTGCCACCACCACCACCCAGCCTCAGTAAGAAATTTTTTTTTAAAAATTTGAAACAGGGTTTCACTGAATTGCTCAACCTGACCTTGAACTCCCAGCACCTGAGAACCTGAGGCAGGATTGCTGCAAACCTGGGACCAGCCTGGGCTCCATAGCAAGACCCCCCAAATGTAAGGAGATAGGTATCTTTGCTGAATTGCTTCCATCACATCTTTCCTGGTTTTGTTCTCAATCTCTCTCTCTCTCTCTCTCTCTCTCTCTCTCTCTCTCTCTCTCTCTCTCTCTGTTTCCCTTTTTGCTGTGGATCCCAGAGGCCTGTCTGTTGTGTCAGAGTTTAAACATCTTTCCCCTATTCTGGCCCAGATGTTCTGCCTGCTCCAGAAGGAGGATTTGGAGGTTCTGCCTCACTCTCTGCTCACCATGTAGCTTATTCTCTTATGAGTGTCCCTGCCTCCCCCTCCAGACTCTGAGTCTGCAGTTCTGTATCACTCTTGAGCATGGCATTGTTTTTGAGTGTGCCCAAGAAGTGTTTTGTGGACCCAAGACCTTTAGAACCTGATTTTGGAGTCAGGAAGTAAGTCAGAACAAAAAAGATTCCCCTAAGCCCCTCATATTCTTTACTGGGGATATGGTTCAGTTGGTAGAGCGCTTGCTTAGCATGCACAAGGCCCTGGGTTCAATCCCCAGCTCTGTGTAAGCCAGGTATGTAGGAACATACCTGTAATCTCAGCACCTGGGGAAGTAGAGACAGGAGGATCAGATGATCAAGGTCTTGAAAAACAAAAGCAAAACAAATCATTTTCAGCCTGAAGTTCAAAGCCAGCTTGGGCATATAAGACCTGGTTTCAAAATGAAGTTTACATTCTTTTGTTTTATTATTATTATTATTTTCAAGATAGGGTTTCTCTATGTAGTTCTGGCTGTCTTGGAACTCACTTTGTAGACCAGGCTGGCCTCGAACTCAGAGATCCGAGTGCATTAGAGATTAAAGGCATGTGCCACCATCATCCCCCTCAAAGTTTACATTCTTGTCAAAAAGTGTGAAGTTGGGAACTGGGTCCTTTTACACTAAAAGAGTTTTCACAGTCTGTCTAGTTTGGAAAGATGCAAAGTCTCCTTGGATAACTGAGTAGTGAACTTCTCGGTATGGCTCATAATGGCTAAAGTTAGCACAAGGATTTATGTGATAAAGCCCTGTGTTTCAATTATCCTCAAGATCACAGTATGTCTGTCTGTCTGTCTATCTATCATCCATTCATCCATCCATCTGTTTTAGTCAGTCTCTATGTATCTCTGGATAGCTCAGAATTTGTTATGTAGACCAAGATTGCCTCCTTCTCACAGAGATCCACCTGCCTCTGCCTCTGCCTCCTGAGTGCTAGGTTCAAAGGCATGTGCTACCACATCCAGCACTGATTACAGTATTTTAATAAAAACTTTACACAAGGCCAAAAGAAATTTAGAGAGGGGGCTGGAGAGATGGCTCAGCGGTTAAGAGCACTGACTGTTCTTCCAGAGGTCCTGAGTTCAATTCCCAGCAACCACATGGTGGCTCACAACCATCTGTAATGAGATCTGGTGCCCTCATCTAGCCTGCAGTCATACATGCTGTATACATAATAAATAAATAAATAAATAAATAAATAAATAAATAAATAAATAAATAAATAAATCTTAAAAAAAAAAGAAATTTAGAGAGGTACATATGCTAACTCAAGTTCACATGGCTAGTGAGAGACTCCCACCTACTCCATCAGGGTTTCTTCTAGCAACTGAGAGGTGTGTGCTTCATTCTCCTGAGGTGTTCAATGTGATGTGAGACGGGGGTTGAGGTAGAAGGAAAGGTGTCTCTTAAGAAGTAACATTTGGGGGCTGGTGAGTTGGCTCAGCAGTTAGAGCACTGAGTACCCAGGTTTGGTTCCTAATGTCCACATGGTGGCTCACAACCATCTGTAACACCAGTTCTAGGGGATCCAATGCTCTCTTCTGGCTTTTGTGGACACTAGGCATGCAAGTGGCACATGGACATACATGCAGGCAAAACATGTATACACATTAAAAGAAAGTGACATTTGACCAAGAGTTGAACATAGGCGAGCAAGGCAGGTACCTTCTCTGGACACTCTCATCTCCATGTGTCTTGTCTTTTTGTTGTTGTTTGAATCTTAGATGGTCTTTTAATAAAAACCCACAGCCAGATATCAGGATGAAAGTCGAAAGATCAGAGAAGCAGAGCAGCCAACCACTAGTTCTTACCTCTATGAAATCCTCAGCCTAAAGAGAGTGAGTTCCTCACGCCTTATATACCTTTCTCTGCCCTGCCACATTACTTCCTGGGATTAAAGGCATGTGTGCTTCCCAAGCAAAGGCATGAGATCTCAAGTGATAGGATTAAAGGTATGTGCCACCACTGCCTGACCTCTGTCTAATCTAGTGGCTGGCTCTGTCCTCTGATCCTCAGGCAAGTGTATTAGGGTACACAATATATCACCACATTTTGACATTTGTATTATGTAGTGGTTTGAAAGAAAATGTCCCCTAAAGGGAGTGGCACTATTAGGAGGTGTGGCCTTGTTAGTGTAGGTGTGGTCTTGGTGGAGGAAGTGTGTTACTGTGGAAGTGAGCTTTGAGGTCTCATATTTATATGCTCAAGCTGTGCCCAGTGAGACAGACCACTTCCTGTTTCCTGTGAGTTAAGATGTAAGAACTCTCAGCTCCTTCTCTAGCACCACATCTGCCTTGCTTCCCGACTAAACCTTTGAAACTGTAAGCAAGCCACCACAATGAAATGTTTTCCTTTTTAAGAGTTGCCATGGTCATGGTGCCTCTTCATAGCAATAGAAGCCCTAACTAGGACATGTTACCTGAGTACTTAACTCGATTCACATGTTTCTGGCAGCACAGGGAGCCTTTGGCACAGAGCGGGTGCTTAATAAGGATTTGCCAACTAAGTAAAGGCATGAAAGGACTGGAGGCAGCAGGTAAGGATTCACTCTTCCTGAATCACTAAGAGCTTCCCCCTGCATCAGGATCCTTCATGGTTAATGATGGGCAGAGCTGATTCTTGTTTCAGAGAACTCCCATGTAGATGGAAGTGACTGTAAGAGCCTGCCAGGCCCTCCTACATGTCCCCACAAGTCATATCTGAGAGCAAGAGGCCCCATCCTGTGCTGTACTGTCCTGTTCTGATAAAACATCTGTCTAGATAAGAGACGTGCATGTTCTAATGAGAACCTACAGTGCCTTAAGGAGGGATATAACAGTTACTGAGTGCTGACTGTACCAAGCAACATGCTAGGTGCTTTCCACGAATACTTTTTTTTTTTTTTAAAAAGACAGTTGTATAAAATGGGCAAGTTTCCCATTAATGTTAGGGGGAGGAGACTCGGGGCATTTGGGTAGATGGCTCACTGAGCAGGCAGCAGAGGCAGGATTAGATGGCAGATTTGTTTGTTTGTCTTTTGTTTTGGTTTTTTGAGACAGGGTTTCTTTGTGTAGTTCTGGCTGTCCTGGAACTCACTCTGTAGACCAGGCTGACCTTGAACTCATAGAGATCCACCTGCCTCTGCTTCCAAAGTACTGGGATTAAAGGTGTGCACCACTATATCCAGCTCAGATAGCAGTTTTATGGACTTTAAAGGTGGAGGAGGCCGTCCCTGGGTGGCGTGGTTCTCTCTCTTCTGTCTCTCCTTCTCTCCCTCTCACGCAGACGCTTTACTGTGAGTGTCAGCAGAAATTCCAGTGTTGTCCTGTGGGCTGTCCTCAGGGACTGCAATTCAAAGGGAGGGGACTCTGGGTTTGTGTGGGAGTGTCCCATTGGTGTCATGTATGTGTGGTGAGTGGAAAAAGACATTCTGCACTCTTTTAGTGGCTAAGTCAACTCCTGAGATCTAGGCTGGCCTTGAACTTGTAATCTTCTTGCCTCACAGACTTCAGAGTGCAGAGATGACAGAAGTGGATTCTTGCTTTGAAATTTTTATTTCAAATTTTAACTAGTGCGTATTACTTGCCTAATTATGGTTTTTTTTGTTCTTTTGTTTTTGTTTTTGGTTTTTTTTTTTTGAGACAGGGTTTCTCTGTGTAGTTTTTGGTACCTGTCCTGGATCTTGTTCTGTAGATCAGGTTGGCCTCGAACTCACAGAGATCCGCCTGGCTCTGCCTCCCGAGTGCTGGGATTAAAGGCATGTGCCACCACTGTCCAGCCTAATTACGGTTTTTGTTCTGACATTTCCACACATCCACATGAGCATGCATTGGTCCTATCCATCCCCATTGCCCTTTCTCACCACCCTCCTCCCTCTTGCCCCCTCCTACCTCACATCCAGGGTTTGAGAAACCAGAACTTGTTTTTTGGACTTAGCAGAATGCTGACAGACTTCTGAGGCTCCATGTCAGAGAGTGGGTGATACACTTTCCAGCTCTAAAGTTGCCGGTACCTACAGGAGTGATCTGATCCCTCAAAGCTGCCATGTTATGAGGAAGCCCAGGCTCCCCACATGGACTTACCACAGAGGTGGACCCGGGAGCATCCATTTCTCAAACTCTCTGTGTTAAGGTGTGTCATGTATCCTGTCATTCAGGGTTGTGAGGGAAATGGCTTGGCCTAAGGAAGGGTGACCATGTATCACCCAAACGAGAACGTGTTGAGGAGATGTCAGTGGTGGGGTGTGGTGTGTAGAGTGCTCTTTTCTGAGCAGCAGAGCAGCTGGGACTACTTGTAAGAGACCCCGATGTCCTGCCTGTTAACTGTGGAGGAGGAGGTGGTGGGGAGGGTCGTTGGACCGTCACCTGAGAGTCCAGCTGCTCCTCCCATACCTGGACACTGGGTGATTCTGTCCTAACTGCAGGTGGCTCCACGGACTCAGGTGGTGCTAGATTGTATAGACTGTGGAAGGTTGATAAAGGGGTGGGGTGGGCACCGTCTGCGCAGCTGGAGGGTCATTGTCATCCCTGCTGGTGTGGCCACTTTGGGGTTGCGCATACTTCTGTAAGCGGTTACTATTTCCATGCTCTGTAAGAAAGCCCAATAAACTCAATGGTTCCTCGGGGTGGACTTTGGTGGATTGATACTTTGTTATTGAGGCATTGGAAGGAGGGGGTAGATATTTGCCTCTGTCTCCCTATGGAGGACATTCTCCCAGCACGTGGTCACCCTAGGCTCTGTTATCTGTTGTGTGTGAACCTGAACTGTCCTTCACAGGCTCCTGTCTTGGATGCTAGTCAACTGTTTTGGGAGGCTGTGGACCCTTTAGGAAGTGGAATCGGACTGAGGGTGTTGGTCACAGAGGGTGGACCTTTGAAGGTCGGATCCTCCCCTCTCTCTGGCTGGCTCACCCTGCCTCCTGGTCTGCCGTCATGTGACTAGCCACTGCCTCACACTTCTGCCTCCATGTGAGGATGGGGCTATTCCACCACACCTCCTAAACTGTGACCCCAAATAAATCTTCCTTTTTATTGTTTCTGTTAGGATCTTGGTCACAGAATGGAGACATTTACACTGTGCAGCAAACCGTCCCCAAATCTAGTCACTAAAACAGCAGCAAGCCTGTCCAGGCCTGTCAGTTCCTGTGGCTTAGGGCCTGGGGGAAGCTGCTGCTAGGCTCTGGCCTGGGGCCTCTGGTGCGCCTGGGTTCGATTGGATGGAGTTGGGATAGCCGGCAGATAATGGATGCTTCTCTCTCCACTTAGTCTTGAGTCTGCCTGTGTGTGTTGACTCCATGTGGGGAGTTGGGGCTTCTTCAACATGGCGGCCTGGGTGGTTAGACCACTCACTCATGTGGGCATTGGTGATGTCAGAGCCAGAAGCCACATCACCCTCTCTCCGCCACGTAGCCTCTGTAGTTTCCCAGCTTCTTGAGTTTACAAGTGAGTCGAAAGCTTTTCCAGAGTCAACGGAAAGGAATGAAGTGTAATGCTTAGTGTTAACTGTCAATGCGACAGAATCTCCAGTCACCGGAGATGAGCTCTGACACTCCTGTGGGTTATCTGGATTCTACTAATTGCTGTGGAAAGGCCCATCTTAATTGTGAGTGGCACTGTCCCTGGGCTGAGTGTCCTGGACTGTAGAAGGCAGAGAAAGAGCACTGAGCATCAACACGGGCGTGTTCACTGCTCTCTTCGGACCTTAGATGCGCTGTGCCCAGCTGTTTCAAGCTCCTGAGGCCTTGACTTCCCCTGCGTGATGGACTGTAACCCGGGTCTGTGAGCTGAAGTTAGTCCTTTCTCCCTGGAGTTACTTTTGCCAGAGCATTTTATCACAGGAAAAGAGACTAAGGTGTCATGTTGGGTAAGGCACACGGCTCTGGAGGGCAGGGGAGCGGGAGGTGTTGCTTAGGGTTATGTAGCTCGGCTTTTCCCAAGAATCGTCAGTTTGGTTGTCTGCAAATGTGTGACTGAGTGGTTTGGGACACAGCAGATACCAGGAATTCCTCCAGGGGCAGGAGCCTGGACACCGGGGCTCATCCAGGGAGCTCAGGCCACTTAGGTTGTGCCCTCTTTAGAGAAATCATGTGTCATGGTTCATGCTGATCGTCAATTTGACAGGATCTCGGGCCTCAGGATGCTCTGGTGTGTCTGTTGGGGTTATTGGATTGGGGTGACTGAATTGGGAAGACACACTCTAATGGTAATGGCACCTCCCTTAGGCTGGAGGTCTAGTGTCAATAAAAGGGAGAAAGTGAGCTGAGTGTCACCATTTATGTCTCTCTGCTTTCTCGTTGTGGATGTAACATGAGAGCTGCCTCGAGCTCCTGCCGCCACGGCTCCCCCACCCCGCGGTGGACTCCACGCTGGTTCACCCGGGAACTGTAACCAAACCCGAACTCCCCCTTCCTTGAGTTGTCAAGTGTTTCATGACAACAACGAGAGAGACAATACAGTGTGCGTGGAGGTGACCCTCAGTGTCAGGAACATAGGAGGGGACAGCCGCGGAGCCAGCGCCATCGTCTAGGATGTGGGCTTGGATGGCTCCAGCGTCACTGTCTCCTGGGCAAGGCTGGGCCTCTGCAGGGGCTGAGGGCACATGCTGGTCTGTGACAACCACTTCCTGAGCTGAAGCTAGCACTCAGTCCGACCCCTCTCCCCACCAGCCCTGGGAGTCTGGGGGAACCTCCTAACGCTTTGGGCGTCATGGTCCTTGGACTAGTCAGGGTGACAGTGTCTCCGCTGGCCTGCGGCTCTGTTTCTTCTTCGTTACTGACAGATCTTCTGTTTATGTGCCAGCCTTCTATGCTTGACTTGAAAGGCTCTGTCTCGACTGCAGACAGATGCCAGGGTCTACAACGGAGTCACCAATGTGTTGTGGGCAGACCCACCTCCAGTGAAGCCAGCCTGCATCGCCTCTTCACATCTTAAAACCACAGGGTCAATTTTTTCCCCCCACAGGGTCATTTTTCAATGGAAAAAAAAAAAAAACAACTGAGGTTCAGAGAGAATGTCCTTGCTCGAGACCAGCTAGGCAGGGTACAGTAGGAACAGATGTGGAACACACTAGGACTGAGGCCGTTACTCATTTGCAGCTTTAACGTCCCCAGAATCTGAAGCTAGGAGTTCTTCACAAAGCTGGGCAAGCATTTGGCTACAGCCCTGAGATGAAGTGGACAGTAGTTAGAGTCCGTGTCAAATCCCACAGATTGTGAAGGTTTATATAATTTGCAGAAGAAAAGACCCAAGGCTTATGGAGGTCTGCATGGGGCTCACTGAGCATTCACGTATGGTGTGGTCAGCCCACTGGAAAATGTTCACCATCCAAAGAATTTGAGCCGTCTAGGGCTGAGTATAAGGCTTAGTAGGTTAAGGTGATTGCTGCCAAGTCTGATACCCTGAGTTTGATCCCCCGAATCCATATGGTGGAAGGAGAGATCTGACTCCTAACAAGTTGTCCTCTGACCTCCACATGTGTATTTTGTACACACACACACACACACACACACACACACACACACACACACAAATCAAATTGGGCCACAAGGACTTCAGTTAAGAAACTCTGTTCCTTCCCTCCCCCATACACTTCTGTTCTTCTGAGGCCATGTTCAGTACTCTCTCCTTCCAGATGGTGAAGACTCAGGGTTGAGGACACAGTACCCAGGCAGATGCTCCAGAGAGCTGCAGCATTTAGCCTTTCTTTGGGATGATGCATCCACGCCAGGGGAAACTTTCAGCCCACCAGCCCACCTCAGCCTCAAGGGGGGACTGACCGCCCCAGCAAAACTGCCAAAGTAGCCGAGCCAAAAGGATCGGAGCCTTGGAGTGAGCTCCTTGCCCTCAGAAGAGAGGGAGGCTGTCGGCCGGTTGTGCCGGTGACGGGTATTGAAAGTTATTTTTTATTTCAGCTGGATGTACACTCACCCATCACAGGACCGTGCTCAGAATAGAGAGGCACCTGTTGAGCCATCCTCCCCATTTCCTGCCTTGTGGGCATCGCTCCAAGTGCTGAGCCATCCACTTCTCCGCTCTGCCCAAGATATATCAGGATTTGCAGCCCTGACGACAGGGGACAAAATAGACCCCCTTCTCTTTTAGAGCCGTTTAGCTAGTTTACAGAGAGTTCGTTTCAGCAGGGTGAGCAATCACCAGACCTCCCCGTAGCTCCTTCCTCTACTTCACAGTTTTTTTTTTCCTGTTGGAAATGGGGTTCAGGGTCCTGAGGCCAAAGATGAACTGTTGGCTTCATCTGGCTATGCTGGGTTGAGTTGGGAGGGGCCCCTCTGAGCACAGCCCTGCCCTGAGCAGCACTGTGCTGGTCTTACGTCTGTTGTGATCTGGAACCTGGTTCCCACTGTCCTGACGGGTGTGTGCAAAGTCTTTTCACTGGGGCCAGGTGACTATAAGGCTTGCTTAGGGGTCTTCTCAGGCAGTGCAGGTAGATGTGTGAAGGGTCAGACTGACTTTGGATCCAGGTTTCCGGTAGACATGTGACTTTGGGCAGATGACATAGTCCTCAGAAACCTTGTTTGTGGAACACATGAAATCACAGTTCTTCTTGCTCAGGGAGGGGGAGAGAATCACGTCAGAGGATGGTGGCTGCTCATGATGGTGCCTGGCCATCAGACTTTTTGAGTTCTGGTCAGTGGGCTGGCAGGAGCCTGGGCAGCCTTGCCTGGGGCTGGGCTCTAAAAGCAGTCATTGGCCATCTGTGGCTGGTAACTTAGTTCGAGCCCCCGAGCAGCCCAGAGTCTAGGGAGGAGGCGTGGCCGTGCTGGGATGTGACACTTGCAAGGTACTTATGCTTTATAACTTTTTGTTTGTTTATTTTGTGGTACAGGAGATTGAACCCAGGGTCTTGTACATGGGAGGCAAATTCTCTACTGCCAAGCCATGTCCCCAGCTATGGAATAGATGTTGAATTTACATTTAAATTCTTTAATTCTGAATTACAATTTTTCAGTTAAGAAACTCTGTTCTGTAAATTCTGTAATTCTGAATTACAAAATTTCAGTTAAGAAACTCTGTTCCTTCCCTCCCCCATACACTTCTGTTCTTCTGAGGCCATGTTCAGTACTCTGTCCTTCCAGATGATAAAGCCAAATTTAGGGTCTCTCTCTCTGTCTCTGTCTCTGTCTCTGTCTGTCTGTCTCTCTCTCTCTCACTTGTTTTGGAGACAGGGTCTCTCTACATAGCCCTGGATGTCTTGGAACTCACTATGTAGACCAGATGGCCTGGTCTCAGAGAGATCCGCCTGCCTCTGCCTCCTGAGTGCTGGGATTAAAGGCGTGCACCGCCATACCTGATAGGGAGTCCCTTAATATCTGGCCAGACTGCTTCGCTCTTCCTGACATCTGAAGAGGACTTGTCCCCACAGCCTGGGGCTTACGAATTTGCTGCAGTCCCCACCACCCCTGTCACTCCAGGCCCAGCCTTTCTCATATTCCCGCATGCTCTCCCTGGGGGATTAGCAGATTAACCGCACCGCTCTGCTGTGGGTGCTGGGAGAGGGATGGTAGCTCAGCCAGGGCGGTCAGGAAAAGCTCCTCAAGGGAGAAAAGGCACAGCTGCTGCTCCACAAAACCTGCAGATGCAGCTGAACACCCTCCTCTTTATGGCCCAAGGAGAGGGACCAAGGACACAAAGTCAGAGATGGCATAGATCTTGGCGTGGAGAGCGGAGGCCGATGGCTTATTTGTGGCTGCACAGCCTTCTGTGCGCAGGCGGGTGCTGGAGCAGCTGGGGCCCTGCCTCCCTGGCTCTGGGTTCCTTAGAGATCGGAAGGTCTAGGGGCCTGGACTTGAGGATTGCGCCTGTCATTCACTGCCAGTGTGACGTCTGTTGGCCATTTCCTCTCTTTGAACTGGTATCTGCCTGTGCCAATAGATTCTGACGTTCTGATAGGACAAGGGCCAGATACCGAGAAAGTGGCCTGTGGACACTAGGCATTTGAGGGTCACTCTGACAGTTGGAAAAGAGCCACCGTCTCTAGCAGGCTTGGTGCCATCTGTTTAACAGAGGCCTTGAAAGGGCCCCATCCCCACATCGGCCCGACTGGTCCCTCTTAGGGCACGCACGGCCTTTGTTAGGCGTGGACCTTGGACAGCATGTTTGATCCTCCGAGCTTAGCTGTGAGTAGGGCTCTGGGGTGCCGAGGCCAAGGGCTCCCTCTTGTAGGAGGCACCAAGGTCAAAAGCTGTGCTGGGAGAGATGGGAAGAAGCAAGGCTCTGTGCACAAGGGAAGTGAAACCATAGCCCACTCTCTGGTCTGTGTGTTGAGATAGGATCTCACCATGTAGTTCGCACCAGCTTTGAGCTTGAATTAATCCTCCTGCCTCAGCCTCCCGGGTGTCAGGACTACAGGCATGTTCTACTTCTGTGTCACACTCCCACCAAGTCCCTCTTCAGTGGGGCGTGATGTAAGAGGTGGAGGCCGAGCACAGTGATGCTCACTTGTAATTCCAGCACTTGGAGGCAGGAGAATCAGAAGCTCAAGATAACCACATACTGAGTTCAAAGCCAGCCTGGGCTGTATGAGACTGTCTCAAAAAAGAAAAACAAACAAAACAACAAAAATCAAGAGCCAAGTGTCATGGTATTCAAGGTCTCATGGTGTCCAAATGTCAGAGACAAGTTCAAGTCTTCTTAGGTGGAGAATGAATAGCATTTTCTGTAGAGCCTGGCTAGACCTGAGCATGTGGTCAGGCTGCCCCGCGGGTGCTGTTTTGCTTCTAAACTAGGTAGAGAAATGGTCTCAATATTGCTTCGAACGCCTACAATACCTGCTTATATCCTGACGAAAACCATCTGCAGGGGTGAAGAGGTCTCTCCTACTCTGTGGTGTCAGACTGACTTTGTATT